CCACTTCTTCGGATGCATCCGAAGAAGTGGGTTGTAGCCCACGAAAGCTTATGCTCTCAATTCTAGATATGGCATAAATTGTGGATTATTTAAAAAGGTCAGTTGCCTCCCCTTTGCCCCTTGACACCTAACTGGTTTATATCCACTAAGAATGATAAAATCTGATTGTATGACTTCCCCCCCTCCCCAATTCAATTCCACCCACGATTCTGAAAATAACAAACCAGCAGATCCTCTATGAGATGTGTCATTGGTCACTTACACGGTCATTAATGCATATATGCATGTTGGGATACTTCTTTACTTCCTGAAGAAAATATGACATAAATCCAGGGATCTGGATTGTTTTATGAAATTTAAGAATTGTAAAGAAACTGAGCAAAATGCCTCTCTCACTGGAGAACATTCCTGAACACATTTCCTATGAGTTGCACAAGTAAAAGACTCAGCAGTAGAAAGAGTTAAGCATATGAAGTGAATTTTGGTTGTATCACGATAAAAGGATGGCATTACTGTGTCTTGTTTTAGAGCAACAAATGGTTGGCTCTAATTCTTCCTGATTTATATCCTTTGCATTTAGGCTATGCAACACATACTGGCAAAGGATAAATTGTCTTCCTTGAAATTTACACACTGGTAAACATTTACACTGATACAATTCCAAGTTATTGTTTTCTAGGCACTTAGCAACATCATGATTCCTTTTTCTCCTAGTGGAGGAGAACAGAAGGCTGCCTTTATCTGTACTCTAAATTATTTCAATTTAAAATCTTGTATGGAATTAAAAAAAAGAAAAATCACAGATTTGCTAACATTCATTCCCGCTAGGGAATGGTACTAAGAAGACAAACTCTTTTAAAACCAACCAAACAGCTCTCATACAGCAATGACTCTTAGTTACATGTGCAGATTATTTCATTTATTCTGTATGTGCTGTCAGTCAGTTATTCAGATGTTGGGTCACACATATGATCACAACTTTAACCCCAACCCGGGTCTCTGATCTCTCATTTCAGCATGCAGTAATATTGATCAGTTGTCTAGTAAGTACAACTTACTGAAAATTGCATTTGTGTGCAACTACTACTAGAACTACTATTTAAATACAAAACAGCTATTTATAAACATGCAATATATAATATACCTGCCCCTAGTATAGTATAAGGGTGTATCATATATATTACACACCACAAACAATGATACAAAAAGAATCATGGTATCTCTCTGCTCCCTTTCAATAAAAAACACCCATTTTATTGCTGACATTAACAAGCCTGGCGTCAGGAAAGAATTCACACACAAAGAAATGCACCTAATTTTACTCACCTAATAAATTTAACTGCCAAGCCCAGGTCTGCTATACAGCAGGTTCCATTCTTTTTCACTAGAATGTTCTTACTTTTCAGATCACGGTGGGCAATAGCTGGTTTGCCTTGAGTACTGAAGATCTCAGTGTGCAAGTGGCACAAACCACTAACAGAGGAATAGGCCAGTTTTAGCATGGCTTTTGAATCTAAGGTAGTGGATTTCAGATAATCATACAGGGAGCCATTCTCATGGTAGTCTGTGATAAGATACAGTTGGGTCCAAGACCCTGTACCTTTAATGTCCGCAGCAATGAACCCTATGGGGGGAAAATATTTTCAGATTAATATTTTTCGGGGCTTTTGAACACCACACACGACTCTAAATGTTCTTTCAGCTACTTGTGTGTTCTATATTGTATTCAGTTATTAAGGATATGAACCGTGCCTGCATCAGCACATACTAAAAATGTGGATTATACTGCATGAAAAAAGTATGCAACAATTACTCTGAGTGGTTATATGGCTATATTAAGAACAGCTCATGCTAAAGTTTATCAATGCTTTCTGTCTAATCCCCAGATTAAGGGTTAAATTGTGATCAAGGGGGAGGGAATGTCACAAAAAAACCCACCCCGCTCTGTGCAAAGGACAGGTACAAAAGCAGCTCAGCTAAGCAAGGTCTGTTCAGTTCTTGGTCGCTCTAGGAACATAATTGTCTGCGGAAGGATCACACAAACACCCAGCAGCCACAAGAGAGACATACCTCCTGACGGCTCTTCCTAGCATAGTGTGGCCCCACATCACCCCCTACAGAGAGATCTGTACAAAGTGCATAACTGAGTTTTAAACAAATACCCTCAGAATGCCTTCGGTGTCTCTTATTTTTCAGTTCTATGTGGTGTCATTTTTTAAATGTCAATTCAGTGGCCTGGAGTTTGCTTTCTAAAAAAACCGGTGTATGGTTGTTGGGGATTACAGCCTCCCAAATTCAGTTACTCTCTATCTGCAGGGAGACCCTTAAAATGATTTGCTTTTTGACATCGGCCCCATGGAGAGAAGCGTTTTGTGGTTAACTGCAAAGCATGGCAAGTAACAAAATGCATGAAGAAAAGGACATCAGCAAATACGAAGTTATTAGTAAGAATAACTAAGAAACTTAAAACGGTATCATCTCTATCTTTTATTTCACTCACTTACCCAAAATGTTTTCATGCCTCATCAGGACAGTCTGATAGATTTCTGTCTCTCTGAACCAGCTGGCCTCCTCAGTGGTGAAGAACACTTTTACAGCTACCTTTTCTCCACGCCACTTTCCCATCCAAACTTCTCCATAGCGACCTTTACCTATCTGTTTCACCATCTGAATCTGCTTTGCTATAGTCCTTTGGACCTGTTAAATCCCAAGAAATGCAGTTTAAATATACCCCACAACGTAGGTGTTTCATCTCTCTTCGTCTATGTCCTCTCATGCTAAAACATAGGAACCCTTGCACAAAGCTGGAATGCACGGGCCTCGCACAGACTTGGGGGAGATGGAATCTCCCGCTGCTTCCCAGAGAATGGAGTACTAGCGCAGACACTCTTGTAGTCTGGCCACTCCTAGGAGCACACATGACTTTATGCCAGTGGATCAGCATAGGCACAGATATACCTGACAGTTTCAAACGTAGGAGCTTAAAGTCAGGATCCTAAATCCATATTTAGGCACCTAAATAACCAACAGAGCTGACCAAAAAAACCAAATTAGCATCCCAGGAAACGTTGATGCTAAATGAAATGTTCTGGAAAAAATCAAATTGGAAACATTGAAATGCAGCATTTTGATATTCCCAAACTGAAACGAAATATTTCGGTCCAACATTATTCTGTAGCTATCTGAGATGCCATTGTGCCTCGTGCTCCTGTTTTCCTCTAGGGGCCTGGCTCCCCAGGCGAGCTCCCTCTTCCACGATGCAACAGGGGGCTCCCATGATGAGTAGGCCAGAGGGGAGACCCCGGTGCATCATGGAAGATACAGTCCAACCAGGGAGTCTAACCCTCAGGAAAATTGAAAAATTTCAGCAAAATCAACATTTCCCAAAGGAAACCACATTTACTTTTGAAAAAACAGGGACAGAAAATTCCCAACCAGCTCTAGGAACCACCTTGATTTTCCAAAATGCTGTGTGCCCAGCAGCTCTCATTGACTTTAACAGGAGACAATAGATGCTCAGCACCTTTAAGCATCAAGGCTGGGATTTTCATAAGTGCCTGAAGGAGTTCATCCCCCAACACCTAGTGAAGTTTACTAAGTCTCTTTCAAAAATCCTACCCCCATTTTTATTTATGAGCCCATCTATGGATTTGGGAGCCTAATTCTGGCCTCCTATTTGTGAAAATGTCAGCCACAAGTTTTTAGTTATAAAGTGCAGGAGTTAGGAGGCCTGGGTGGCTACACATGTATCATTATTATTCATAAATAGGTATTTTCCCCTAAACATTAATTTTAGGAGCACAGCTTAAAATCTGTGTTTGTCACTGACATCGGTTTCGTCAAGTAGCTTCGCTCTGAATAAAAGCTAGATTCAAAGCACCAGTTGACATATACCAGAAGTTTAGTGCAGCCAACAGCATTGCAGAGTAATCTCTGATGGGGATGACAGATCAGACACAGAGTTAAGGAAGACTGACCGCTCATACACTAAACAACTAAACCTGTTATGACTAAAAAATCTACCTTGGGCAAATACAGACTAACTTACCCTCTCGGGAATGAGACATGTCTGGAGGCTATATATTCCTAACAATTCACAGAGTAAAAGTTGTGATCCAACCTACAAATGCATGGATGTTCATAGCTGAGGAGCTAATCAACCTCTATTTCCCAGTCACAAGATAGTACAATAGAATATTGAAATAGCAACCGCTTGTGCCTCAGTATTACCTGTTCAATCCTGACCTGAAATGTTCTTGTTTTTGTAGGATATTTTAAAAAATATTTTAAAACAAAAAATTTTAATTGAGTCCAATGCAGTTGCATCTTCCTATATCAGGCATTAATTAGACCTTGGTCATTAGTTATAATTTTCTAGATATTTAAATATTTAAGTCTAGATTTTGCCTTCACCCACATAAAACTCTCATGAAATTCAATGCATTCAAATAGCAGTGTTATCTGAACGCTTAATGAGTTACATTAATTCAATGTCCTCCCAAAACATTCTGATGAACAAGGCTGCTAAAAATAAATATTCAAAACTGGATTTCAAAAACATTTGTTACTCTTTCGTTTTCTCTGAAACTGACCGGAATTCAGTGGAAGCGGTCATATTCCTTATGGTCCCAGCAGGTGGCCCATTTGATAACGCAGAACAGGACTGAAACTGTTCAGCTCCAGTCTGAATGCATGTGAAAACAGGGGCATTCTAAAACTTCAGGTAAGGTCTGTTTTTGTTTATGTTAAACTATTATGTTTAAACTATTTTTAAATTGCCTAAAATGGAAAAAATAACCGAACCTATGTAACAAAAACTCTGCAAGTTCCTTCTCTGATTTGCATACAAATGGAAGCTGAATTTTTACAGCCTTAGTATGTATTATCACACCATCAGATGGTGGCTTCAGTGCAGTTATTTTGACTTATGCCAGTGCAAGCCAAGAACAGAAATTGAGCTTAAGTTGTTTTTAAACTGATTTATTCTCCTTTATACTTTGAAGTAATGATTGAACAGTTCTATTACACTGGAATTTTTCTTTAACATTTTGTAATGTAATGTTAGCATGGTTGCTTTCCGATTTGCCTGCTTTAAAGAATGCATCCTGAAAAATAATGGAATTACATCAAATAACTTAATTTGTGTAAATATATGTAATGGCATCATAAAGCACATGCAATTACAATATTTAATGATGAAAAGTTCCTTATTAAATTATATTAAGAAAATGAAAATCACATTTATGTTATGAGTTTTCAAAAGGCAGAATACTACATGGAAGACCTTAATTGGTTTCTTCCTGCTAGAGCTGGTCAAACTATTTATTGTGTTCAATTTATTTTATTTCATGCATTTAGTTCTTTTACTGTTCATAAATGGCTTGTGATGTTTAAAAATATGTTTGTTATTCTAAATTGTTTGACAAACAGATTTTACAAACATTTTTGTGTTATGGATTGATTGTAAACTGTTCACAGCGAACAATCCATTAATTTTTCAATATTTGTATTTTTCTACACAAACATTGACATCGGTCAGCTAAGGAAATAGGGCATTTTGCTTCTTTTCTCTGACAGGATGAGCTAAACATTTACAAACTACTTCCACTGTTGCTTGAATAGAATTTTGTTTTGTCACAAAAGGGGTTTTGCTTCTTGAATGGAAATATCTCGGCTAAAGGCACAAAACTTGCTGTCTGTAAAATTCATACAAAGTTTTGGTCACACGAATGTTTGTGACCAGAGCTGTGATGTATTCAATCAAAACCCAACACGTATTTATAAATGTAATTATAAAAAATGTACGAGCAAGTTGAATCGAATGTCCTATGTCTAATGTGGCAAACTGCACACTACCTTCTTATACCTTGAAAATGGCTTGGTTCTGTGCTTTTGGCCTTGGTTTTGCAGCTGCTTGGAGGCCCACTGAGGTAAATGGAGCCTGGATGCAGAGATTTGCCTGTGCAACCCAGCTTGCAGTGTAGGAACCGTTATTTACAAGTTTTTAAAATGCTTCAGCAGGGCTTAGAAGTTGAATGGCAACATTCAACCTGCAGCAAACTTTTATGCTAGAGATACAATCACCTAAAAAAACGACCCAACAGCCCACAGTGGTTTATACTCAACATTTACACTACCTTAAATATATGGGCATGACTAAGAGCCACCATATAATTATGAATAATACAAATACATTTGAGAGAGAAAATGAACAAGGTTGAATGTCAGAGTAACGACACTATCCTGGTTAAGGTTTCGCTTTGTTTTAACCTTGTATCCAATATAATAAGCGAGCTACAAAAGAAAGACAATATTGTTTATCATAAGCTGGCATTTTACAAGTTCTAAAAAAAAGTATGGTTTGCTTTCTCTGAAACAACTTTAAATGTTTTATATTGGAAATAAATAATAAAGAAGCTGGAAATAAACACTTTTAAAATGAAGGGTAGTGGTTTTCTCCACACATTATTGTACATATTTGTTACAGGCATGGCATCCCCTCTTGGACAATAAGTATCAATCCATGCACTTCTAAGTTGCGTATTGTTGTGGTAACTACCTGACAAACACAGCAAACTTATATTATTATATTCACCATAGCAAAAGCTTTAAGGCTGCAATGCAGCTTCCATCATGAACCTGTTTTCACGGTCTTATAATTTTCTTAGAAAATCACGGTTTGAGGAAAATCTGTTTATGACTTTTTAGTTAGGCAAAGGGGCAGGAGGAAGGGAGGAATATTTCCTGATTTATAAAAGAAATTAAGACTCGGTCTAGTGACTACAAAGCCACCAGGTATGGCAGAACACAGTTGGGACAGAAAAGAGTACAAATGTCTCCTTTACTTTAGTACAGGTAGGGCTACAGGCAGGGTGAACAGAGCCCCAGCAGCTGAATTCTGTGCTCTCTCAGCAGCAGATCCTGCAGTCTGCTGAAGAGAGTGGGGCTCATACTGCCAGTGGGATCATAGGACCTGGACAGTTTGATGGAGCTGTGGTTCACCCACCCTGCCTATGCCCAGTTTAAAAAAAAAATACTTAGGGAGGTAGGTAAAAATACATTTGGAAAAACCATATTGCGCCAACCAGCTTTACTGGTTCTTTCCTTTTCTCCTTTTATTTCTGTCATTAAAAGCCTTAGGAAACTAAGTGCAAAAATCTACATTAAGGCTGTGTTAAGGCTATGGAGTATACGGTAATATTCTGTTCCCCGATTCAAAATGCAGCAGCCCATCTGCTTAACAATCTGGGTTGCTGTGAACACATTTACCCCAGTACTCTGCTCTCTGCACTGGATCCCCAATGAATACAGAATCCAATTTACAGTCTCTGTCCTGTTTTCCTACTCCCTCCATGGAAATGCCCTTGGCTACCTGAGAGATTGCCCCTCTCATGCAATGGCCATGATCTCCCTTGATATCTATGTTTCACTGGAACATCGAAACTGCTGGTCAATACGGGGAGGTTTGTGAGAGAGGCAGACAGGGCTGGATCTACACATTGGTGCTCACGCCCATATCTAGTAAGAATAACTACGGACTTCACCACTTTTGGAATCAATTGCAAAGCTCATTCTTCTGCTTATCTGTCCCTCAATGGCCAAGTTGACATTTGGAAAACTGGCTGTTTCTCAAAACATATTTAGCTAACGTATTTTAATGAATATGATTTTAAACAGGACTTTGCAGCTACTAGGTACAGGACAGATGTATAACTTCTCAGCTATGCATTTGGAAAATGACAAGGAAAAGGAAAATAAATAAATAGTTTTAAAAGGTAGTATTTAAAATAAGTATCTTGAGTCTTCTGCAATGCCATGATGTGCAGGAGGTCCAAGGTTGTCAGGTTATCAGAAAACTAAAACACAGATGAATGGAAAAGCCATGAGCTTTACTCTGAAATATAAACCTTCTAGCTGAAACTGAGCCTTCTTTAGTACATAGGTTCTTGGGTCTCAGTCACAGTTACATTTGAGACAACTTATAAATGTTATACTCCATTCAACTGACATACCTTCAACCTACGACACTGTTGTAGCGCAAAATACAGTGATTCTACTTTTAGCTTTTTAATGCTAAGTGAAGCCAAGGTGTAAAAGGATTCCATTTAACCATCCTGTCTCTAAAAATGATGTAACAGTGTTTGAAATGTAACTGTGTGTTTATAAAAAGCACCACCTCCAAGATCATAGGCCGGATTCTGATCTCATTTACACTGGTGTAAATCCAGATAAATCCCACTGAAGTCTATGGGGTTAATCTGGATTTACATTGGTGTACCTGAGATCAGATTCAGATCCCGGTACATGAAATAAAGAGCTCTGATTCTTAAGTATTTATTCTCCAACTGATATCCTTGTCATTTCTGCAGACACTGAGAACCTAATTCTTCCTTCACATACTAACATAATTCCTATTAAATCCCCTTGAATTTTTATGCTGGTGTCTTTGTCTTATAGAGTTATGTGTGAATCTAAATTACATTCCTTTCTTACCAGCAGAGGGAGCCCAGACCCACTTCCTGAGCTCTGAGACTGTTCAATCAAGTCTTTCAGGGATTCCCCTGGAGGAATGTAAGTCTCATCCTGTTCAAGTCCAATGCTGTAACGAGGTCTGGTTTCTTGCCTTTTATGCCTACGATTTTAGTGAAAATTAAATTAGTTGACAGTACAATGAGGAACGGATGCTATGTAGAAAACACTACTCACATTTAATATTTAGTCATGCATAAGTTCCCAGCAATTACTCAGTACGTGCTAGACTCATCAACGACTATTTTTCTGATCTATTTGCAACATTAGAACGCTTTGGGTCTATGAAAGGGGCTGACTATCATCCTGCTGGGGAATCCAGCATAATTTTGCATAGCCAAGTACCAACTTTAAACCCCTAATTCAGAGAATAGTCCTAAAAACAGAGATGCAGCAAATACCTCACCTTTTTGTTATGAATGTTGTGGGTCTTTTATGACCAAAGAAAGGCATTTTTATGAATTTGCCTATGTTTTCTGAATCGATCTCCTTCTTTGGGTATAGTTTGTGAATTTGTGTGCAACCTTGTGTGCACTGTGTTAATAGGCTTATGAGCTTTACTTTATTTACTATACAGTGTCTTTACACCATTGTTTTCTTTCATTTTCACTGTATACTACTTTGTGTTATTTCCCACTGGAAAGCTTTTTAGGACATACTTTCTATGAAGGATGCTATATAAAAGACCAACTATATTATAGGGCATTATATTGATGCCTTTGTGATTTTAACATTAGCAAAACATTCAATTTTTCCCTATAATAAAAACAAAGTTTTTTTAATTGTTCCCCAATTCCCTCCTGTTAATTTTTTAATTTTACAGTTCATAAGCCATGGGGGAAAAAGTGATGTTGGGAAGAAATGTGAAGCAGACAAAGTTTAAATACTTCCGACTTACCTGAAGTAACAGAATATGATGATAAGTACCAGGAGTATACTGCAAACGGTCACTGAGATCAGCAAGGCCTTATGGTGAATGTTTCCTTCAACAAAATCTGGTTCAAAGATAAAAAAAAACTTTGTACAATGGCTGTATTTTTGTCTTAGAAGTCAACACTACTCTCTCACACCTGAAATGTCTTTCACGTTAGGTTGAGTGTAAAATACATTCTGCCTTCCTGGATTTAGTTTCACATGTAAAAAGACATACAAGAATTTATAAATATATTAAGCAACAGAATTGTTCCCTTTCTTTTCTACTGAAACATTGTGTAATGTATCACTTGATTTCAGAGCCATTTTACGTGCTCCTTCTTTAGCCCTCATCGAACAGGGCAAACGTAGCACATGGAACAGCAATCGAGGGCCTGACTGATCCTGCAGCCTTTACTCAGACAAAGCTCTCACTGGTGACACTGGCGCTTTTGACTGAGTTTGCAAGGGAGTATTTAGCCCTTCATGACCAATCCACTAACCCCCACCGCCTCAAACCTGGGATTTATAGTCCTGTATCTTACATCTCTTGTCAGCTAGGACACAGACTAGTTTGGTGCCTCTTTATTTTAATTAACTTTTATTAATTTCAGAAAACTATGAGAGTCTTAACAAAAGCAATTAATATACCCAACTGTATCTATCCTAGCAGAGAAGACATACAAGGGATGTCTAATCCCTGCTAGGGCATAGAGCTAAAGTCCTTAGAGTTATATTTACATCAATTTAAGGATCTCTCTCTCTCTCACACAGCACTCTAGCAGCAAAAATTATTTGTTTTTTATTCTTGCACTTGTGGAAAAATGTGTCATTGCACATTACCAAGCAACATGTAAGAATTGTGATTATATAAAAATAACTGAAAAGTTTGGATTAATCCTTGCACGCTATACCCATTTTCTTTTCTAAAATTTAGCTGTCATCTCCACATTTGTATCCTCATTCCAAACACACGTGTTGGACCGTCATGCATATTCTCATGCTGAAAACTGAAGAAATCCTGCACCAACTTCTTTTAAAACTACAGAGTCTCAAAATTGTGATACATTAGCACACTCCCCACCCCCAGCCTGGTGTTCACTCTTATGCAGATAAAGATGAGGTTTTCTGAAGCCCTCACCATCTGATTGTCTTGCAACTTCCACACAAATGTTGAACACACAGTAAACTGTGAGAATTCTATCCTTATTGACTCATCCTGGAATAACACTATTATGTTTCAGATTTACTAGGGTAATGAGACAAGGAGGATCCTAGGGGAATCTTGGCTTACTGTCATGCACTTTTATTTTAAAGATCCAGTTCCCTCTCTCATCTTTGCTTCCAACTATTTCCTTCCCTCCCCTTCCCATCATGAACAGAGATTACCTACCATTATCTGCCTTGTGAGCACATTGGTCATGTTTTAACCTGACATTACCTGCTCCTGGAGCATTAACAATGTAAACATTCAAGCCATGGCCATCGCCTTTGAAAGGAGACACTGACACAGGGCCTATCAGGAAAAAACTAGAACGCATCATTCTCATCGGAGCAGCAGATTTCTACCTGGACTGTCACTCTAAGTGTGCCGGGAGCTGAAACTGAGAACCCACGGGGGAGTCCAGTTCTCTCTGTGAAAGAGGTGACAGTTTAGGGGGCCAAGATTCTATTTCATGGTTTATTAGCAGTCTATGTCTGCCAGTCATTTCCCTCTAAAATGTGTGGTTTGTAACAGTTTAAGATGTCACTGCCTATTAGCCCAGGAGAGGCTAAACACAGTATGCAGACTATAGGGGGAGAATTCTTCATACTCTGGAGAATACGGAAATACGTTTGCAGCAAGGGGTTTCTGGTTTCATAGAACATGTTACAATAAAAACTGGGCTGGCCGTTTTTGTGCTTCTTTAGCACAACGAGTGTTGAGGGCCACACATACAGGGCTCAGTTCTGATCTTGCTTACACCAGAGTAAACCAAGAAGTGACTCTATTCAGGTCAATGGAGTTACACCCATCAGAAACTGTAATGAGCTCACAATTAAACTCCCTCTTCTTTAATATTATAAATGGATTATGAGTGTGTATAAAACTGTATACAAATAAAATGGAATAAAGAACACTGAAGATGATTCTGCAAAGAAGAGTGGCTAGATTTCTATACACTGTGGCCAACATTTCCAAACTGGGGTACCCAAAGTCGGGCACCTAAAATCCCTATTTAGGCACTTGCATAAAAGTGCTGAGCATCCTCAACTTTTACAGAAGTTAAAAGGAGCTGCAAGTGCTCTGCAACTCTTAAAATAAGGCCCTTTATAAGGGGCCCAACTTTAGAAAGCCACACTTGAAAATTCTGATTTACATTTTTTCTGTGATCAAAGGCATTTGTGGGGGAAGAAAAAAAATCCCAGAAAGCACTTAAAGATAAAAGGGAATCTAGGTGTGAAAGACAAGTTCTGCATTTTAGCCTACAAAATTGAGGGAGGCTGAACTAGTTACAGTGATGAAAGTTATTATCTTAGATCAGAAGGTTGTTTCTAAAACAATATTACACACGGCTTTATTAAAGATGCACCAGGCACACAGTAGGCATGAAATTGGCCCCAAGACTAAAGGAAGGCAAAACATCTTTCTGGAGTCCTTTATGTTTACCAACATGTTATGCAAGGCAATAATGCTGGAGAATGAGTGAGTTACCTGCCCAGAATTCAGACATGTTTTCAAATTACTCTGGAGGGATTTAGCTTGTTTGTTCATTTGGGGGTTTTGGAAACCAGTCAACGTATGTTCATCAAAATGTAAAGAAAAAATGCTCAGAATTCTTTATTTTTAAATGTCAGAGAATAATCATCAATGGCGCTCTGTCAAACTGGGAAGACATATCTATCGATGTCCCACAGGGGTCAATCCTGGGTCTGATACTATTCAATATTTTCATTAATGAATTGGATAATGAAGTGGGGAGTACACTTATAACATTTGTGGATGACACGAAGCTGGGATGGGATGCAAGCACTTTGGAGGGCACAATTAGAATTCAAAACAAAGAAGAAGAAAAAAAAAAAACCAATAAAGACAAGTGCAAAGTACTTCACTTAGAAAGGAAAGATCTAATGCACAACTGCAAAATGGGGAATAACTGGCTATGTGGTAGTATTGCTAAAAAGGATCTGGGGTTACTGTGGATCAGAAATTAAATACGAGTCAATAATGTGATGCAGTTGTGAAAAAGCCTAATGTCATTTTGGGGTGTATATAAGACGTGGGAGGTAACTGTCCCGCTCTACTCGGCACTGGGGAGGCCGCAGCTGGAGTACTGTGTCCAGTTCTGGGTGCCACACTTAAGGAAAGATGCGGACAAATTGCAAAGAGGCCAGAGGAGAGCAACAAGAATGATAAAAGGTTTAGAAAACCTGACCTAGGAGTAAAGATTAAAAAAACTGGGCATATTTAATCTTGAAAAAAAGAAGACTAAGGAGAGACCTGATAACAGTCTTCAAATACGTTAAGGGCTCTTAAAAAGAGGATGGTGATCATTGTTCTCTGTGTCCACTGAAAGTAGGACAAGAAGTGATGAGCTTAATCTGCAGCAAGGGAGATTTAGGTTAGATATTAGGAAAACATTTCTAACTATAAGGGTAGCGAAGCTCTGAAACTGCATTCCAAGGCAGGATGTGGAATCCCCCTCACTGAAGGTTTTTAAGAACAGGTTGGACAAACACCTGTCAAGGATGATCTAAGGTTACTTGGTCCTGCCTGAGCACAGGAGGCATCTCACAAGGTCCCTTCCAGCCCTATATTTCTATGATACAATTTAGGCTGGTGAAAAGTGCCAGACTGACTTCCCCTGGACACTGAAGTCCTCCCTTTGTCCACAGAACAGGTGCTGCATACAAAGCAGCCATGCAAACTTCTCCGTCTGCCTCAGTGCAAACCTGGTGAGGCTATTTCCTGGGGATGGCAGAGAGGCAGGTGGTTCAGTCTTCAAACTTATTGTATCCCTGGCCTCTCAGCTGCGATTGAAAAGGGTGCCAATTTGCACTAATTTTTGTGATATGGGAACTGGACTTAGACCCAGTGCTTCTTAATGTTTTGTAAGTTATCAACTGCAGCCAAACCAAGCTGTGAGGTTATGAAAGTAAGCAGGATTTTATTATTTTTTTAGAAGACTGCAGTGAGTTATTATGTGAGGGATATGTAATAAACAAGCAATACATTACTGAAGCTCTTCTATATACTCTGGCTGAAGGGGAGTTTTAGCCATTGTTCACTGCCCAGCATGCAAGGAGTATACTTTATAAGAAAATACACAGTGATGTTATTTCTAGACACCACACATGGGTGTCATGGTTGTCTTCAGTACTGGGAGGGAGAGATGATAACAGAAGAAACAAGTTAAGAAACAGTTTCTCTAGAAAATATCTTCAGTAAGACTCAAGAGCCTTTCAGACAGTTCTAGTGCTTCCCTCCAGCCCCATCTCACTTTGTCATGTACGGCACTCTGCTGAAACGTGTATTTAAAACTCAGCAAAATGGGTTTTGGGTGGAGTCAGCATATCAAATGCACAGAAGATTCTCCTGCTTCCCCAGTTTCTTCCAGTTCACAGTATTCATATTATCTGGGTAAAAACTGCAGTGAAATCTGAGACTTGGAGACTTGTGTACACACATCAGACCCCATCATCATTCCTCCAATCATTCCCGTGCCCATTCATCACTAGCTCTACAGGCAGGGAGCCAGACATGGTGGCACCACCACTTCTGCTTATAAAGGCTTTAAATCAGTAAAGACATATTTGTTCTCATCTGCTTTCAGTCTGCACTTTCATTGGGATTTCCAGTAATATTTTTATTGTTTAAAAGAGAGGTGTCCTTTCAGACATGATTACTATTCTCATTTCCTTAATAAGGCGGCTGCATGACTAGCAAGGGGATTCCATGTTATCTCCAGGGTATTTTTATTTTACTAGTACTGCAGGATGCACCAGAACACTGTCCAGAAATGTATTTAGCTGCTGTTGTGTTTTTCCTTCCTGCTTGACACAAAGATAGTTCTCTGGCTTGATTTTAATTCTTCTGTCTGATATTTTCATATATCTACTGCTTCATTCTGTTCATGGTTAAAGAGTGAGTCCCTTCCAGGAAATGCTAGGTATGGAGAAACACTTTCAGAACACAAATTGCACGCATCTGTAGATGATAATTCTGTGCATGGGTTAATTTCTAGCTAGCAACCTTTGACCTACGGCTGAAGGACCTCCCCAGACCCCGGTTTCCCTTGAGATATGACCTTGGTCAAAAGTTCCTGATCAGGAGCTAACCTTTTTGTATGTTTTAAAATACCAAACAACATACATTTTTGCATCAACTCCAGTGGAGTTTTTGTTTCAACAAGTCCATTTTTAATTTTAGTTATTTATTTTAACATCACTGTTTATGTTAAATCCTGATAATTCTGAGAGTCACTGCACCACATTTAAAAACAATCCAAGACAGGAAGAATGGCTATTAACACAGAACTCGTCAACCATTATATATTAGCTGCAGGTACTTGGATATGGCTAGTGGGAGAATTCACAGTCTAAATTGCTGCCCTTTTGGTGAGTGTTCAGATTGTGATAGAGCAGTGGCAAACTACCCTGGCTTCTGGCACCAAGGATCACAGCTGACCATACAGCTTTCAAAAAGGGGCTGACTTTGGTGCTGTTTCACAGCTACAGACCATAGAGCCACATTATCTGAAGCAGGCTCTAAAATTACAGCGCCAATTTGCTATCTAGCTACTAGTGTTGGAGGAATTACGTTAAATGAACATACTGCCATTTGTTTCTCAAATAGCAAATTAAACAACTAGTTTTGCCGTATTCAAGCAGCTCAAAAGCTATTCATCTAATAATGTATTCAAAAATATTCTCTCTGCTCTTTGGTGTTTATTCATCTTAGCTATCTGTCACCTTAGTACTTCAGTGTCCTCTGCCCCCGCCAAAAAAAAAAAGAAGAAAATTTGGCATTAGCAAAAGAGCTCGAGTTTTTGCATAAACAGTAGATAGATATCTGACTATGCTAACTACCTGATTTTTACATTTCCATCCAGTTTAGGCTGGAATGGCAAATGTAATATAAAACCAAGGAAAGAGACAAGTTAGATCAAGGTTGCCCCATTTTGAATCTGCAGGGTTTAATTCAACCAGCGTGTGGGGGAAAAATCATGGACTTGATTTTCCAAAATCAAATTATATTATTCATATACTATACAAACATACACATGTACTTACTTGGGGGATTTTCTCTCTGTCCAAGTAACTTTTTTTCTCTTAATAAAGACCAACAAAATTACACAGAGCTCTTATGTTGGGAGTCAGAATTTTATGAGGTTTCAGTGATCTCATGGCTCACCAGTCAATGCTGAATTATTTTACATATTGCATTCTATGGGCCCAATCCTGTAGCCCTGCTGTGCAGAATCTCAATTAAGTAAGCCCTTATATAAGTAAGGACTGCAGGAATAGTCCTTTCTATATGCATGTGTGTGGGGGGGGGTGTGGGTAAGTAATTAAGTAAGTATCTATGTGTTTAGACTGAGATTTACTGTTCAACGCTACGGTCCAAATTTTGTTCTCAGCTTTAAACGGGCAACACCAAAAAAATTGGAAACTCTGTCTCCTAGGACCAAATTTAATGCTGACCACACAAGTCCTGCACAGCAGCTATGCCAATGTCTATACATGTCGTACTTACCCAGGAACTGCTGTATTTTAAAAATAAAAATATTGTATAACTTCCAACCAAACCTGGAAATGCATTTGTGCAGAGTGTTACTCTATTGTTTGTTCTATACCTCTGAAACACAGAGTTCGTGGTAACGCCTAGACCTTATTCTCTGAGGGCCAGATTATCAGCGGCTATAAATCGTCATTAGTTCCACTGGCTTCAATGGAACTACGCTGATTTATAGCAGCTGAGGATCTGGTCCCAAGTGTCGTTCTGAAACTGTTACGTAGCTACAAACGACAATATTTTGCAACGACAAAGGGCACTCATTATTGTTATTTTATATTTGTATGGCCTGAGCACCTAGAGGCCTCAATAAGACAACCGCACCCCCCACCCCGTGCTAAGCACTGTACAAACAAAGTAAGAGATAATCCCTGCCCCAGCCTAACCTAGACTGTGAGCTCTTTGGAGCAGGCACTGTTATTTTACTACACACAGCACCTCGTGCAATGGGTCTCTGATCCTTGACTGATGCCTGTAGGCATGATGGGAATACAAATAGAGGTAAATACCAGCAACAACCAAGTAGATACTGTTTCCGTATATTACCAGAACAGCTGCAGGATACAAAAAAAAAATGTTTTTCCATGCAGCTCATCTAATTCTCTTTTCTTTTCTAGGAAAAATACATGCATCTACTGATTTAAGGCTAGATTTTCTTCCTCCTCTTACCTCTATTTTTCAGTGGTGGCAGCGTAGGGTGAAGGTTTTCATTACAGAAATCTTCGTCTGTGCAGCATGCAATAGTTCTTCTGTGATGTATTATGGGTGTATCCTGCAACAGAGAAATTCACAGAGAACTGTGTGAGCAACTTTGTTCTTTTCAACAGACACTGTTGTTTGGTCGCTGGAGAAGGAGACAGACCTGACATGGTAAACAGCATCACAACCAGTGAAGGATTTCAAATATGACTGCAATAAGGATTTGGGCCACCCTAATAAAGCCATTTAAACATTAAAGAACAAATTCATCCCTTGTGAAATTCCACTGAAGTCATTACAATTATACAAAGATGTATTTGGCCGTAACAGCATACAGGAGAGCTGTGAGAGAACGTGTGCGTTAGTGTTACATTATTCAAGCATTCCATTTGAATTTTGGGGCAGACAGTTTTCACGTTTATGTACAATGAGACTGAGGGCCTGATCCTCTGTCCCACCTTCCAGAGCAAAGCAGACAGAATTTTGCCCCAGGCCAAGATTTCCAGAAACAGATGCCTAACGTCAGGCCTGAATTCAAGAGAGACTTTAGGATGATCAGCATTTTGGAAAATCTGGCTACTTATTTAGTAAGCACTCAGAAGCCTCATTTTAGACTCCTATTTCTGAAAATCTTGGCTTTAGCGCATGATTCCCTTCATGTAGGGGAATACTCAGATGGCTTAAAGCCAATGTAATCAACTTCGTCATCTATTCCCCCCAGCGAAATAGATTTGTGAAGGGTATGAAGAGGGAGCAGGAGGGGACAGAACACAGTGCACTATACTTTGGAGATATTTACTGGAATAATGGCTCCTGTGAGTTTATTACAAGCAGGTGAAAATAAGAGCAACCCTTAGCCTGCTCTAACTTGAACCAATAGCTGGTTTGGCCCCTGGACAGGCCCAGATTTGGGTGTGGGAGCAGAAAGATTACTTAGGGTACATCTATACTGCAAACAAACAAACGCGTCAGCCAGTCTCAGAGCCCGGGTCAACTGACTTGGGCTCACACTACAGGACTAAAAATAGCAACGTAGATGTTCCTGCTTGGGCTGAAGCCTGGGCTCTGAAATCCAGCAAGGGGTAGAGTATCAATGCCTGGACTCCAGCCCGAGCAGGAGTGTCTACACTGCTATTCTTACCCTGTACCCTTATTCAACACCCTGTAGCAAGAGCCCAAGTCAGTTGACCCAGGCTCTGAGAATCGCTGCCCTGGTTGTGGTCTTTTGTTGTTTTATTTTGCAGTGTAGATGAACTCAGAGTCATCTTCATTCCACCTGCTGTCCTCCCTCCACCGTCATGCTGAGCTTTGCACAGAACAGCTGGGGATTTAACCCCGAGTGATTTCTCTGTGTTAAACATGCAAGCACAAAAGAGAATTGCTGTGTAGGGTGAGACGTTGATTGCAGTACATGAAATGGAAACACATTTCTCTCCCTGGAACTATACTGCCTTCATAGAGGTGGATCCCCAAATTTACTGGCTGAATGACTGTCTACACATACAGGACTCACGTTACACATCAGTGATATGTAACAACTTCTAGTGTGAAAACAGCAACTTTTTTACGGCACACTACTACGCAGCACACAGCAGTTTAGGAAAGGAAGTAAAGAATGTCTTACCTAATTCAAGCTGCAGGGGGAATTTAGAGAATCAGAATATAATTACCCGAGTGGTAGTTTCACCAGGAAAGCAGGGGCTAATATTAGTTAACTAGCAACACGGTGTGCTTGAAGAAGTAGCAAGAGTTTTGGGGAGTAGATGCCATTTCCTCAGCATTCAGTGCAGAGGGCACATCTCCCACATGACCAAAATTCAAATTTATGCATTTGTATGCATTTATCCTGACTACACTACAGCTGAATGAAAACTATCACAATAGCCAGACCAAACCTTGATCATAACTCTTTTCTTACCCGGCATTGGAAGTCTGAGCCTTCTAAGCCTAGGCATCCTGAAGCAATTGTACGTCCTCCAGATTCATCTTCTTCTACCATGGTGAAACAGTAGCCATCCGTCCTGAAGATTGGAATTAGTTTTTAAAATGAGAGATTTGCTATTAGATATGCTGTGCCCCACAAACATACAGTTGATAAATCAACACACTTTGAACAGCAATGTAACAAAATGCAGGTGACTAAACTATCATCACATATGTAAAATCTTATTTATTTACGCAGTGTTATTTCAACATACAAAACAAACGAATGCTTTTCCCAGGCTCTTGGCACCCACATATAGTTAAAATTAAATCCAACAAAGACAGACAGCAATCACAAACCGATAACTTTTCTTCAAACAAAAGAAGCCAGTCCACAAGCTGACATTTTCACACAAAACCCTAACCCCCATAATTAAAAATCTTCACCCAAGGCCCATCCCCTCTGCACAAATGTCTATCCCAGTGTTTCTCAACCCATGGCCTGCAGGCCGCTTGCGGCCCAATCAGCACACAGCTGCGACCCATGTGATATCCTCAGGGCCATAGAGGTAGTATAATATATTGTGTGAATATGGCCAACATAACACACAGAGAGCTGCATATCTGGCCCACAGTGGTAAATAGGTTGAGAACCACTGGTCTATCCTAATAGATGGGTCTCCAATGATGCAAAGCCTATCTTAGTAAAAGCATCAGTGCTAAAGCAGGTCCACTTGTGCATGCACACACTGTACAGAGATTTGCCCTGTGGTGCAGACCTGAAGAGGCCAGCGTCATTGAGATAATGACCGTGAAACACTATTAAGAGTGATTTGTGGTCCTTACTTTAACCATATTACAAACTGCAACACTCTGTTGCAGATGAGTTCTTGAGTTATCATCAACATCCTTCATAACTGTTTACTTGGGTTATAAGCCTAAAGTGATCCATAATACTTCAGTTTACAAGAACATGTACAACAGAGGACAAGTATACTAACAGACGGCTAGATGGTGCTGGTGATAAATGTCCTTCCCTAATGAAGGTCAAATACATGAATGTTATCAGGGAAACAAAAAGAGTGCCTGCATCTGACTGAAAATCTTCGCTGATAATTTCTCATCACTTTCTGGGGACTCACTACCGATCAAAATGAATGAAAACTGTCTTGATCGTAAGAAATAAAATGAATAATAGAAAAGAAATAGCCCCTTATCCTCAAACAATCAAGTCATATAGCAATAAAATGTTTTATTAACCTCTTATTTTCTTTCTAATATTTATGTTTATTAGATACTTTCACAACAAAAGAACAAATGAAGAAGGACAATAAAAGGGAAACCGATAGAAGAAGAAACTAAATGGATTTACAAGGCTTAAATAAAGCAGAATTTCAGATAAATTATTTTACTTTTACTTCAAAGAAAGGAAAACCTAACAAAACAAACAAATAAAACCACTAATGACAATAAAGAAATTGTAGGAAAAGGGGAACATTCCGTTACACACTGAACGCATAAATACAATTTGGAAATATTAGCTGTGGCACAGAAGGACGCCGGATAGGAAAACACCAAACATTTGCTGTGGCACGTTTTTAAATTAACTATGTGAAATCTAGTCAGAGCAAGCTTGTTTCACAGTTACTTTCAATAACAAGACAAGTTACTAACTTCTGGATCTGAAAAGTAACCAGTTGCACATTACAGATTACTTTCTCATAGAAGCGCACAATTTACTTTTATACTACTTAGATATTATGCATGAGAGTAAGTAAGGAAGACAACAACCCTTTTGGGTAACAACTCCCATGACTTCATTACTCAGTCTCAGGATAGGAATGATAGGATTGCCAAGAAAAGAGACTGAAAGGAATCCATTAGAGTACAATATTATATTAGACTACTTTTTATTTGTTTAAATGGCGCCTTCGATTCAAAGCAATGAGTAAGGGTAACTGAGGGACACAGTAACAAAATAATACATTGCAATCAACTGAAAAACAAAAGAAGTCAACAATTGATGGTCTCTAATAAATTCAATATACAAAAAGAGGAGAAAGAAAAGAATCATATTGTTAGAAGAGGTACTATTAAGAAGGGAAAGTGAAGCCACAGGAGGTTTTGGCATTCTAGTGACTTTCAACAGGACATAGACTCATAAATCACTTTTCAAAATGGGACATAGGCTCCTAAGTCACTTAAGTGCTTGTGAAAATTTTACTTTTGATGTAAAATGACAAAGCAAGTTAGATCATGGAAAGCAGAGGGTGAGAGAGCTCAAAAACGTTGAAGGATGGAGGAAATCGTTCTTTTTGGAGTCAGCAATAGAAGAATGTCTCACAAGCTTCAGACCATGATACAATGAATGAAGAATGTGGAATGAAATTAAAAGGGGAATGTTTTATTAGGAAAAATGAGATTTAAGAGGGAGAATTTTCAATGTAAAAGTTACCTTCACCCCTCGGAAAGCCTCCTAGAGATCTGGGCAAGAGAGTGGAAGAGAGAGTGTCTCCTAGAACTCCTGGAAGAGCTCTACTGTGGTGGTGAGGAACAGATCCTCACAGGTCGAATATAACGCACTCTACATAGAGAGGAGTGCCTAGCACACTCCAGCTGCACAATTCAGCCATGTCAGAAATTAAAATCTTTCCATCATTAAAAACAATCTGAACAAGCATGTACCACATCTATTATGCTGTAGTTCACTGCATATTACATATAAGTATGCATGTATAACACAGAATGATGAATACAGGGGGTCTCCTGTACACATTGGGGTTGTGTTCTTGAAAAGGGCGATGGATACCAAAATGACGTATACTGGGGAATTTTTCCCCATGAGAAATAATGGAATAAGAGGGGGATGCGTTCACAACTTCACCACATTCGCCTATGACAATGCTCTTTTCACGTAAACGGTGTACCTTTTTACACTGACAGGTTATACAGCACACATTTTACACACAAAACATTGAATAACATAATGTAGGACCCTACTAACAGTGTTCAAACACATAGAACATTTTAATACAGTAAATACAGTACAGTATAAAACAATGTCAATTATGCTAAACTTAGATAGGGGTAGCGGCTGGGTTTTCTTGGGCTGGCTTTTCGGTTGCAGAAGTCTTAAAAAAGGATTTTATCGACGTCTGCTCTCCTGCATGACTCTTTGAATGATAGATCTCCCTGTAGCAAGCCACTGCATCACTGAGAGCCCTAGAGACTTTGGCAGACCGTTCACGAAAAGGATCACCGCTCTGTATGATTTTTGTCATCTCATCTAGCAATCCAAAGAAACGGGACAGATTCTTTGTCGTCAGAACCCTTGCTTTCTGCCCTACGTCATCGTCGTCATCAGCCTTGCTTTCTTCAAATATCCGTTGTTGGTCCAGCTGTCCAGCTCAATCAGTTCCTCATTTGTCAGTTGCTCAGTGTGAGACTCCAACAACTCCTGTACATTATCTTCCTCCACCTCCTCAAAGCCAATATCCTTTGCCAACTTGACAATTTCTTGCTCGAGAGCAGAAATGGCATCAAATCCCATGAAGCTGTGGACAGCATCTGGCATTGCACAGCGCAAAACGCCGTTCATACATTGCGAAGTGACCTCTTCCCACGACGCGTCAATGTTTTCCACGCTGTTCAAGATGTTGTAGGACTTCCAAAGCTCCTTTACATTGGGCTTTCCTTCACCTGCCGTCTCCTTAATCAGCATGGAGAATGTCCTCCGTAGGTAATAAGCCTTGAACGTGGCCAATACACCCTGGTCCGTAGGCTGCAGCAACAATGTGATGCTGTGTGGCAAAAACAGGACATTGACGTTTGGGCAGAGGGCTTCATAGTCCAGTTCGTGGACACTTGCGTTATCCAGCAGAAGGAGAATCTTAAAGGCCAAATTTTCCTTTTGACAGTAAGCCTTAAATTCAGGGACAGCATGGTCTACAAACGGAAAATATTGCGTGTCATCCAGGCCTTTCTGTTCGACTTCCAAATTACAGGGAGATGAGACTTGACGTAGCCCCTCATTGCTCTTGGGTTTTCACTGTGGTAGACAGGCAAGGACTTCAGCTTATAATCACCTTCTGCATTTCCCCCAAGCAGAAGGGTTAAGTGGTCTTTTAAGGCTTTGAATCCAGAAGCAGTCTTCTTGTCATGAGAAATATAAGTCTTCGTTGGCATCTTCTTCCACTAAAGGCCCATCTCGTTGACATTAAAAACTTGTTTTGGAGAGTAGCCACCTTCCGAAACAATTGTGTTTAGCTATGTAGGAAACATTTCAGCTGCTTCTTCATCCGCACTAGCCACTTCTCCTGTGAGTTTTACATTATGTAGATTGGCATGCTTCTGAAATCTGTGGAATCACCCATGACTAGCATGGAAGGTCTCTTTTTCTGCTGTTGAGCTCTCTCCCTCTTTCCTTTCAGTGGTTATACAGGCTTTTGGCCTTCTCCTGAATCAAGCTTAAACTCACAGGTGTTTTCTTTTCATGGAGGTCATCAATCCAATCAGCCAGCAAACATTCCATCTTCTCCATTGTACAGGGAGTCGTCAGACGCCACTTAGGACGCTTTTCAATTGACTGCCCGTTTTGCCCTTACGACTCTTGTTCCGCCCTTACGATGAAAGCCGGCAGGGAGAACAGCACACATCACATGCTGAGCCTCAGCCAATCACTGATTTCACTGTTTGAGCTTTCTGATTGGCTCCTGGCCCCAGGCTCAGTCAATCAAAAACAAACGGCAAGGCTACCCAGCAACAAGCTACCCTGGCCATGGAAGCCAATCAGACAAGCAACCCCCCCCCTTCCAGCTGCATTCTTTATAATGCAGTGCATCTGTGAATAGGGGCATATCCAACATGTACATCTGCTACAGAGAAATTTACAAGGAGAAGAGGAGAACATCTGTCCGAACTTCCTTAAGATTGCAGAGAAACCTGCAGCCCAGACTTCAGCGAAGCCCCCAGCCAAGAGCCCTTCAAAAAGTTCTGGAAAGTCAAAGCATATGTGGCTTTTATTTTAATGCTGTTTACCAAATAAATGCATTGATGTTGCTCCATTAGTCATCTATAATTCATTTAGTACAAAAATCTG